AAAAAAAAGACAAATAAATAAGTAAACAAACAAACAAACAAATAAATAAAGTTTCAATATATAGTCCAAGCTAGTATGGTACTCTCTGTGCAGTCCAGCCTGGCCTGGACCTCAAGATCCTACTGGCTCCGCTTCCCGAGTGCTGGAGTTGCAGGATTACTAGTATTGTGCCCAGATAGAAAACTTTTTTTTTTTTTCAAAAGTCTGTTTTAACAGAAGAATAGTTCCAGGCAAAAAGATGACAAAATATGAGAATCTGTTGAGATTTGTGACCAGATCCTACATTAGGCCACCATTGCACCTTCTGATCATACTTTGACTTCTAAGTAGACTTTTCTACTGAGGATATAATTTCACGACCATCCTGGACTCCTTTACCTTGAACCGTTTTTTGTTGTCATATTTTACATTTCAGGCATCTGAGCTGGAAAGAAGTTCCTGTTGACTAGCAGATGTTGGGCTTTTCCCCCATAACTTGTTTAATTTTGGTGGCATTGGGACTGAACTGGGGTATGGTAGGAAAGTGCAAAGCACTCTACCGTTGAGCTACATTCCCAACCCTTTTTTTTGACTGTGACATTGGATCTGATTACAGTGGCACACATGGTATTCCCAGCTACTCGAGAGGCTGAAGCAGAAGGACCAAAATTCAAAGCCCATTTGAGCAGTTTAGCAGCACTCTTTCTTGAAATTTAAACAGTGAGAGTATTTGGGGTCGTAGCTCAGTGCTCCCTGAGTTTGATCATCAGTATCACAAGAGGGAAAAAAAGTGTCCCAGACTGGATTGGCAGTCCTCCTGCCTCAGCTTCTCAAGTAGCTGGGATTATAGGCAAATCCCAACATGCCCAGCCCGCTCCAACTTTAAGGGCTGGGCATGGTGGTGCACGCGTGTAATCCCAGCACTAGGGAGGCTGAGGCAGGAGGATTGTTGCGAGTTCAAGGCCAGCCTGGGCTACAAAGTGAGTTCAAGGCCAGCCTGAACTGCATAGTGAAAAACTGTCTCAAAAAGGAAAAACAATAATAATAATAATTATTATTATTATTATTTTATGTATAAGTAGGAAAGATCTCTGTCACATGAAAGTTGTCTTTGTTCTTTTGCCTGATATAGTACCTGGTATACAGTAGGCATACAAGAAGCATTTGTTAAAGAAATATATTTGGGCTGGGAATGCAGCTCAGTGGTGCAGCACTGGCCTAGCATCTGGGAAACCCTGGGTTTGATCCAAGAACTGGAAAAAGAACCAGGCCTGATGGTGCACGCCTGTAATCCTAGAACACAGGAGGCTGATGCAAAAGGATAACAGTGACTTTGAGGCCATTTTAAACTGCATACCGAGACCCTGTCTCAAAAAATCAAACAAATGGCACTGAGAAAAAAAGGAGAGAGCTAGGCATGGTGGAGCATGCCTGTAATCCCAGCATGTGGGAGGCTAAGGCAGGAGGATCACTGGGTGAGTTCAAGGTCAACCTGAACTGCGTAGTGAAACCCTGTCTCAAAAAAGACCCCCCCCAAAAAAAA